TRYYGGMMYAKKAAAAAACATCCCAATTACAGAGTGGTTTGACTGAGTTGGTTACATCTGAACATCATAAGCTTATGGTTCTCACCTGTAGTGCTGCATGTCTTGCATGACCTTGGACAGTTCTTTCCCATCCATGTGGGATTGGCTTGACATTCTCCCTTTTTCTTCCAGTCCTCACAAGCTTGAGGGTACATATCTACGCAATCTGATGGTGGTTCTAAAGTAAATATAATTCAGTTGTATTGGTATTGTCGGCTTGCATTTCCCGATGTTCAACACAGTTTTGCGTTACCTCCGCACATGCGACAGCTTTTCTTGCAGTTTTTGTGCATCCATTCAAAGTTTGCGCTACATTCGCCAGTACTGGCCCACCCGGGACASCCWGAGTTACCGTCTTCACAAAGGTTTGGATCTTGCGTTGGGGGCACGGCAGTACCTWTATGTAAGAAAAAATATTGTAACAAATTTMTAAGGGTTTTATGCATCAAATACTCAATACAGAATTGCCYTTGTTTCGAGTGGTTATTACAAAACGCGCAACATAAACACAACMGAATATTAAAAGTAATATTGTTTCACGGATTTATCAAYGACTGTAATGGTCCACGCTTAGGTTAATACCTACCACAAACTCCACATGACTTGGGGCAGTTTTTGTTCATCCAGATTGGATTGTTGCTGCATTCATATCTCTTGGCCCACTCTTCACAKGCAACTGGCATGTCATCTTTGCAATCTATGAGATGTATAAAAGACTAACTGAATCGAAATACATTGACTTTAAGCCAAGTCAAACAAGAAATTCCGGATCACCAAGCCATCCAACAATGTAGGGCTACCATTGACCACCTTGTTGGATGATCAAGATAAAACAGAATGTTGTTGTATGACTACGAGGCATCCCTCAGAACAATGATGATATGATTTAACAATGTTGGATCTCCCCGCAATGTTGAATGGTGTTGGGTGGTCAGACATTTCTCGTTTGATGGAGCGGATAAATAAATGCTAATTAAAGCGTAAACGTTAAAACCATGAAAAACTTGAGTAACTAAGTAGTACTAAATTGCAAGGAAGTCTCGCATTCTTTTGTTTCTATTGTTTAATCTAAACTATATTGAACTATTTATTACGATTTGGTTAGTGATTTATCGCGATTTTAGTGTAACAAGCAGGACAACAGAGATTGTGCATACCTGAATCGGGTTCTGCAGAGGACATATGAAAGCAAAAAAAAAAATATGGCATTAAAACAATTGAATAGAGAAGCTTATTTCCAACATAACCGTTCTCACCTCCACAAACTCTACAAGATTTTGGGCAGTTTGAGCTCATCCATCCTGCATTATTGCCACATTCTCCACTGTTCTTCCATTCAGGGCATTTAGCGTGTTTGTCTTCYCATTTACAGTCTGATATAAAGACAAATACATAAGACTTATATGAATGAAGTAACGGCAGTATAACGTAAGATGAAGGGTGGGGAGGGACGTGCCAAGGTTGCCAAAAGTGACTGTTCTGACTGAAGGGGAATAATTAAGCAAGAATAGTAGTTATAACTTACTGTTTGGATCAGGGTTACCAGTACCAGGTTTAACTGAAAAAGATAAGAATAGAGTTTTTTTCACTAAACGCTATTAAAATTGGCTCCTCTCTTCTACTCCTCACGCCTTCGCCAGGAGCGCCTGATTTAACATCTTTGACTGAACAACTTGGTTTCAACCGAGTTGATGTTTGTACTTCCGTATTCTCCAAATAACCGTTGTTTGATTAGATAATGCATAAATGCAATTTCATATATGCATATACGTTTTTTTTAGGAGAAAGTCAGTTCTTACCAATATCTGGAAGTTGTGTAGTCCTACATCCATACAGCTTATTGATTTTCTTTATGTCTTGTGGACTGAACACCCCTCTRTCATAAACTGGTCTGATCTCATATGATGGGTCGTTCTTGACAATAATGGTAGTCTTACAGAAGCCAGTTTTACCAAATGCGCTGTTCTCGTAGTGCATGATGGATGTCAGATCGTAGGGATACCCCTGGGTGTCGGCTTCACTAAATTTGTACTTTTTGAAWGCGCTTTTGAAAGCTGAAAAGGTAAAGTAAATTGATCAATGCAGCTTCAAGGYCTGATGTTATCAACCAAAGTTTGGACTATCCCTTATTCATTATACTTTGAGCTTTTGAGCTAAAATCTACCCGTGATAGTCCATGAKCGTAGTCAAGGAGAAAACCGGAAGATGCCACAAAAAGGGGAGAAACGTTTMGTAGTACGACCTWATATTTTGTATACTGGTTCTTCTAATTCTCACTGCTGACTAATKTAGAGAATCACAAAGCTTCCACACTGACAAACGKAAAAAAGCTTTTCGATGTTATTTCATAAATCATACATTCTGAAATGATTGTTCAGTATTGCTATGTCTRCTTTWWKAAAAAAAAKCCTAAATTTTAAGTACTCAKTTTGCATWWWAAKYSGMG